CCAACGACCATAAAAAGAAAGAGAAACCACACCTAAAGTCATGAACCTGCCTGAATCATCGAGCATGTTGCAGTGATGTCTTCTGTCTGTAACTCTCTGGAGCAATGATGGAAAAGAAATTGTTGTCGTGGCTTCCAGCTATGCAAAAGGCTACAGGTGGCTGAAAAATGAAGAGGCCAGGCACAGCGGCACACTGTTCAACACTCACTCGACCGACGTGTGAGACACTGAAAGAAGGCCAGCTGTTTCACTTTACTTAGATGAATTACTAAATTAAAAGTGTAAATTCAGACATCGGGTCGTTGCATCCACATTTTGCTTAGAAAAGCATTCCCCGAAGAGTTCATGCCACCTTGACGAATCCAGCATGAATCACACACTTGCTCAGAACAGTCATTGCGAATTCTGATGTGGAATGTATCTTACGTGCAAAAACACTCCAATTAAACCTGACAGGAATTGGTTGATGACCAGAGGCGAGAAACAGTGCGAAGGAATTCTCTCAATGTCCTTGCTAGAAGCAACTTATCCATCTGAACCAAGGCGTTACCTCTCTTGAAAGATTGCGACAACTGTGCAGTGAAAAATGAAACACGACATGGAGGTTCTTGGGTTGAGCCTCTTCCCATCGCAGACAAAGAAAGGCAGGTACGTCACGGTGATCAGCCGTGATATCCGCATGTACTGTGGCCGCTTCGTTGGACCATCGCACACAGTACATGGATGGTCCCCCTGCAGTTTAAATTGGCGCAGACAAAACCAGGAAATATACCAAAAAAAGAGGTTTTACATTTGTTCAGATGGTTCACACACACATGTATAAATGGTGTGGATGATTTTGCTCATCATGAGGATCTTTACGTTTTGGAAGCCACCGTTGCATGCCAATTTGCTGCTCTTCAGGAGCGCCCGCAGTAGTTGAAGTTGTGAAAACGAAGCTTTCGTGCAAGGCGTCCCTCAAACACGGAAAGTTGATGAAAGTTAAAGATGTGAAAACAAAGCCTTCGCGCGAGATGTCTTTCAAAAACTGCAACTTGAAGTTGTGAAAATGAAGCCTGAAGGCCTAAACTATCAGTTACAGCGCGGGGCCGATCGGAGCATGATCCCAGGACACCCGGGACCGTTTCGCAACCGGCGCGCGGCAGACCTTCCCCATCCATCTTCCATAGCACGTTCTGTGCTGCAAAACATGTGCGTCCGCCATCTTTCAAAAACGCATGTCTTGCGACACTTCCTGCAAAAACTGAAAGTTGAAGTTGTGAAAACGAAGCTTTCGTGCCAGAGGTCCCTCAAAACCTGAAGGTTCAAGTTGTGAAACGAAGCTGTCGTGCGAGACGCCCCTCAAAAACTGAAAGTTGAAGATGTGAAAACGCAGCTTTCGTGAGAGGCGTCCCTCTAAAACAATCAAGAACTGAAGTTTGAAGATGTGAAAAAGAAGCTTTCGTGCGAGGTGTCCCTCAAAAACTGAAAGTTGAAGATGTGAAAACGCGTGGAAGACGTTCCTCAAAAACTGAAAGTTGAAGATGTGAAAACCAAGCTTCCGTGCGGGTTGTCCCAAAACTGAAAGTTGAAGATGTGAAAGCGAAGGTTTCGTGCGAGGCGTCCCTTGTTCAAAAACAAAGCTTCGTGCGAGGCATCCCTCAAAAACTGAGAGTTGAAGATGTGAAAGCGAAGTTTTCGTTCGAGACGTCCCTCCAAAATGGAAAGTTGAAGTTGTAAAAACAAAGCTTTCGTGCGAGATCATCCACCCTCATCTCGCCTCAAGCTCATCTCAACTCACCCTCAGATCATCCCACTCTCATCTTCACTCACCACTCCGAGATCATCTCACCCTCAGCCCAACTCACTCTCATCTCAACTGACTCTCATCTTCTCTCACTCTGAGATCATCGCTCTGCATTTCAACTCATTCTCATCTCAGCTCACTCTGAGATCATCTCACGCTCATCTCAACTCACTCTGAGATCATCTCGCCCTCAACTCAACTCACTCTGAGATCATCTCACCCTCATCTCAGCTCACCCTGAGATCATCTCACCCTCATCTCAGCTCACCCTGAGGTCATCTCACCCTTATCTCAACTCACTCTCATCTTCACCCACTCTGAGATCATCTCGCTCTGATCTTAACTCTTGAACGTCCGTAACTCGGAGGTATAGACTTCTAAACTTCTCTTGATGATTGCAAATAAAATAGAATGTTGATGTCCGGGCAAGGCGACCCGACCATTGCAAGTAGTCATCATTATTGCCACCGCGTAAAGACCAAAGACAGGAAGCCACCTGCGCAAAGACCCACGCCTTCTGTGCAAATCGTAGATGCATCAAGCGGTCAATTTTTCTGCAAGAGCACAGGCCCACACAGACACACACACACACAAGCATGAACATGGTGGCACACCGACTACACAAGCACTGGTTTTAAACTTTGGCATAGGATTTTTTCCCGTCGTTCTTTGGAATACGCTTCGTAGAATCACGTTTTTGCTTTAGGATGGAGAAAAATATGTTCGAGGCAAAACTCCACATGTATTCTTCATTTATTTTTCTATTTGCACGGCATACCACTTGCATTCTTGAAGCGTTCAATGCTTGGCACTTACACTTGTTTAGCAAACTGAATATGGTTGAATTTGCGCCATGTTTTCATTCCAAGATTGCCAACATGCCTGCAAATCGTGTGTGAACTTATTTCACTCTATGGTGGTGTGTTGGTTTTAGTTGCACTTGCTTATCTTGCTTGTCTCTGGAATCGATCTGTGGCCAACCGCCTGAAACTTCACATTTTATATAATTGCCCCTGTCCCCCTCCACTTGGTCTTTTGGAAACATTCTTGCGGGGGCCCAAGCCCCCTCGGGGGACATGATTGCCATATCGTACCAATCAGCATCATCAGCATCATCAGATTTACTCTCCACTTCGTATTTCGCAATTCCTCTCACACAGATCTTCCATGATCTTCCACCACACCTTCTTCCTTTTCCCTTTACCTGCCCTTACCCCTTGGCCTCAAGCTGCTCGTTTGGGCGTTTGTTTGTTCGCTTGCTTGCTTTCGTTGATCAGGTGGTTGATTAATGTTCGTTGATTGTTTCCTTGTAAGATATACGTCACACCCCTTTTTCACCATCATTCACTTCTCCATGTATCTTTGTATCTATGATTTGCCTGGGTGGTTTTTTTGTGGGTTGCGTGTTTTGCGCGTCCAGAAAAATGTAATTACGGCACACGGCTGCAGGGGACGAAAGGATGCCCAGTGGAATCTACGGCAAGAAACCCAGAATTTATCCTTGACCCAACCCTTGGCTCTCGGCCTTTTGTTTCAGGGCTAAGCAGCCGGGCGCACATTGCCACATCGCCCGAACCACAAAAGCAGAAGCTGACTGATGCTGCATTTCATTTCGATATAGCCTTTTGGTTAGCATAATCAAGCACCTGCTGTGGTTATTTGGCGACATTCTAGGTTTGCCAATCCGACCACTGCAAGCTATGGTGGGCTCATGAGTCGGGATCTTTTTCGTGTTTTTTTCGTGCTGTGAGGCTTTGTGTAATTTCATGTTCTAGCGTATTCAATGAAATCCTGCGCGTTTTCTTAGAAAGATGGAGCGTTGATGCATCAGATTTCCTTCCAAGACTTGTGTGCAATATGCGTGGCTGTGTTTCAAATTTGCATCTTGAGGTTTAAGGCCCCTCAAAGACGGTTTCCCTTGAATGTTAGATTTTTGTGTGATCGATGTAGAGATTAAAATGTATTTTTGGATAAACTACTGGCAATTCCTTTGGGTTTTTGGAGCGCCTATGGAAACATGTGTTCCAACATATGGGGTGTAGATAGGCATGCATCAGCATCGGTGAGATACATACGTGTCAGGTCAGGGATACGTGCCTCCAGGGCAGTTCGAGGACTACTCCAACATAAGACTGGCTGAATTTTGGCAGTGGCAGGAATTTTGCAGCAAAACCTATTCAGGATCTATTGAATCTCATCCGCCAAGCCTCTGTCAGCTGCCTATTGGATATGGAAGACTTCCACAAGTCACATGACAACCAGCCTAGCGATGTTGCACGATCTCTGGGGACCGCCGGGGCTGGGACTTAAGCAAGGCAGCATCTGAGCGTGCAATGAATGCAGCAAAGTATGCTGAGATGGCAGCTTCGGCAGTGGGGACCTTATGTTTGCGCATGAATTCTTTCCATGTGGATGCAACATGCATAGCACATCATGACACATCATAGCAAATGGATGCAAATGGGCCATGCGTTTGAAAGCGGCGCAAAAAATCCAAATGTGACTCTGAGTATCATGCGCAGGCAGGAGCAGCTGGACAACAAGCTGTTGTCCGGAGCTTAGCGACATAGCAATCTCCCAGCGAAATCAAAGAAGACACACACAAGACACAAGACACACAGGATTTCATGAGGTTTTGGTCACTACAACGGAATGAAATACGTAGAACCGTAGAACATCAAAGAATATCGTAGAAAATGATTCGGAATGTTGGGTTTGATTATCAGGTACGTCGTGTCCTTGTATGTCCTTGTGGGACCTCTCGACGCCAATATAAAGTTTCTAATAACATCTAATATGGTCAATATGTACCTTCGAAAGGTCCGTGCCATGCACATGGCAAATGCTCCTGGCGCACCCACGGCAGCGCCGTTCTCACCTGGGTCTCCAGATCCTGGTGTAGGCTGGACATGGGCAACGTTTGTAGATTGGCCCATGAGGGAAAAAAATTGCAAATTTAATCAACTGTATATAATTTATATTGATTTAAAAAGTATCTAATTGATCCAAATTGATCCAAATTGTGCAGATGTGTGCAAAGGTCTTTGGCAGACACGGTGGGGTTGAGTGCATTTGGTAGCTCACATTGCTCGCCGAATCATGCTGCCATCTATAAGCTGAAAGGGTCACAAGTAGGAAGTCCGGGTTCGTCATCTCTGAGCTTCTCTGAGCTGACAGGGTGACTCTTGACGTCATATCGACACATATCGACACTATGGATGTAGATGAGTCCGGTGCTGACGTAGCAGCTAAGGAGGATGTGCCACCGCCTCCTGCACCTGTGGCCGGCCCAAGCGCCAGAAGAGCACGTGTTCAGCTACCAGAGCACCATGATGACGATGGACCAACCTACTATCGTTTGGGGGTGGACTACCCTGTGGACCCAGAGGATGACGAAGTCCTCCACCAATGCGCACGAATAAAGTTTCTCGGCCTAACCTGTGCGAATTTGCCACGGCTTCCACAGCTTGGCTTGAGCTTCCCGTTTCTTTTGGTTCTTGAATCATTGAAAACCTTGACCCGAGGAAGCTGGAAAGTCTGGACATAGTTGGCGCGAGCTTTGGTCAGCAACATATACAAAGTTCAAGAACTTGCATACACATGCAGCCGGGAGGTCCCACACTTTTTACATAGGTTCACAATGGTTCACATATAGGTTCGCATTTGTTCAAACAGATTTGCAGAAGGAGCGTAGGCAATCTGAGAATGTCATGAGAATGTCCCTTTTGCTCTTAGGAAGCTTCGGAAGCTGTGTTCCTCAGAGTGGCAATTTATGGGAGTTTGCGCGCTGTTTGACATTATAATTTGCAACATATTGACACGTGCTCTTCTTCGTTTGGCGTTTGAGCACGGAGAATGTCTCCTTTTGTATCCTTTTGTTTCTTTTCATAGGCTCCTCATGCAGTGTGCTACTATAAGAAGCAGAATGCGTTTCTTGCCTTGAACCCTTTAATTCCCTTTGTCCAACGAACGAGGCCTGGTGGCAAACTGTGTAGAGAAGATTGAGAACCTCGATTCCAATGTGAATTTGGAACATTTGGAGCAGCTTGTCCCATTGTTACTGTTTTTGCTGGAATGAGTGCGCTGAACTTCTTGAAATCAAGTACTAGCACATAGATGTACATAGTATGGATGTGTTTTGTCTTGCCACAGAAAGGCTGTATCAAAATCTCGTGAAGAAGATTGAGAACATTGCCCACCTCCGCAATCTGACAGTGCTGGACTTGTCCTTCAATAAGATTCGGCTGATGGATTCCCTCGCCACGTGCAACTTTCTTCAGCTCGAGCGACTGTACTTGTCAAGCAACAAGATCACAGATGTAGAGGGCATTTTCCACTTGACAAATCTCAAGATGCTTGAGCTCGGATCAAACAGAATTCGAAGTGTTCCTCCAGAGATCGCTTCTTTGGTTCACTTGGAGGAGCTGTGGCTGGGCAAGAACAAGATTACATCAATGACATTGCCACCATTGCCACGATTGAGGCACATGAGTTTGCAGAACAATCGGCTAGAAGTTTGGGAGCCTGCTTTCTTTCAGAACTTGTCCGGGCTGACGCACCTCTACTTGGGGCACAATAATCTGCCAGACCTTCCTGAAGAGTTTGCCCTTCTAACAAATTTGGTTGAGGTTGACCTGGTGCGCAACGCAATTACCTTGATAAAGCCACTTCCTGAGCTAAAAAAGCTTGAGGAACTTTGGATGAATGACAACAAGATAGAGGACTTACAGCAAATCAGTCACCTGGAAGCATTTTGTGCCTTGAAGACGATCTACCTGGAGCGCAATCCCATGCAGGACCTTGGCAACAAGGAGGCCGAACAGAGGTACAGAGAGGCCATCCTGAAGGCGGTTCCCCACATCCAACAGATCGATGCAGAGCGTGTTGATTTCGAAGTCAAGGTCATCTCAGATGGTACAGAGAGACATGTCATGGGCATTCGGCGTAGCTGACCTATGCTGAGACCTTCTGTGTGCAAAGTTTCGCTGCAAAATGAAGTAAAGATGCGAAGCCTTTTCTTGCTTTTTGTGTTCCAAATTGTTCCAAGCTGTTGGCGCAGTTTGTTGCCACTTATTCCAATTGTACCTCACAGGCTCAGATTGCATATGCTCCATGATGCTCCAAGTTGCAAGCCTCCACATGCTAAACATTCATGCGCACAAATGGCAAGTCCATGGCAAGCAGCTTCCAATTCATTGTTGACAGCGATTGTTAAACACAAATATTCCGCTGATGCATCGTATACTGTCTAATATATATATATATATGTGTGTGTGTACAAATTGTATATGATTATATATGCCAGTGGTACCGCACAAGGCGGTGGCGGAAGTTTCAAAAATAGGAAACCTATAGGAAAGGTTGGTTGTTGTGAATCACAGATGGCAGAGCGAAGCCACTGATGGATCGAAAGGTGATTGATGTCTCCTCTCTTTCTCTCTCTTTCTCTGACTATCTACCTACCTACCTATCTATCTACCTACCTATCTATCTACCTATGTATCTATCTACCAATCTATCTATCTATCTAC